GAGCATTATGCGCCTTACATACGGTGTGTCCGGCTTTCTCGAGCTTGTTTGTGTTGTCAACCACGGTCTTCCGCCCCTTGACCCAGCACTACTTACTGCAGCTGTAGACAGGTGCAAGTGCCTTCTTTGTACATAAATTTTTTTGTAACAAATTTGAGGCAACTAACAGTCATTCTATTCTTATAACAGGTGGAGGCCTGAGACTCACACGTTCCACCTACCTTGTGGTGAGATGACCTTGACCATGCAGGACGTGAAGGCTATTTTGGCCTTCGGTTAGAGGGACTTCTAGTAACAGGGATAGTTGACAACGATCATTGGAGGGAGTTGGTGGCTCAGTTTACTGGCTTTATTCCACCAGATGACGAGGCTTCCAAGAAAAATAAGTGAGAAATTCAAGCCTATTTAATACTTGCATTGCTTTTCTGCAGCCATCGGGTCTCTTTTTTTAGGTCAATTTCATGAAAAGTTCCGGTGTTTCATCGTCCTAGATCACAGAGCGCTTTGATTACTTGGACCCACAGGCTGAGGAGGCTCTAATCGATAGGTTTGCTCGAGTGTGGCTCTAGCACTTTCTTGGTGCTTTCCTCTTTCCAGACGCCTCGGACAACACCATCAGCTGGATCTTCCTTGACATACTACGCCAGCCGTGGGAGAACATAGCGACGTACAGCTGGGGCAGCGTAGTCCTGGCATGGACGTATCGATAGCTATGTGTTGCCTGCCGTCGCACCTCAGGGTATGCGAACCTTGGGGGTTGCTCCTACCTACTCCAGGTTTGGTGTTGGGAACGATGGCCCGTTGGAAGGCCCCTTAATACTGGTTTATCGGTAAGTACTTCGATTCACTATATTCTTCGAGGCAGTTACATATGATGAGATTATTAATGGCTAATTCATTATCGTGTTCAATGCAGCAATGGAACGGGCAGGATACACTCCCTACAGCTCTGTATATCTGGACGGAAGCAGAGTTAGTTAGAGGAAATACGAGGCGCAAGTACAGGGAGTACACGGACGGTCTCGACATCCTGACACAGCACCAGGTTACGCTCTCTTTACTATCATACATGTGTCTTGTTCGATGTACACTATATCACAACCTAACTCAATTACGAAATATTCAGGTGCATTGGTGTCCTTGGGATGCTCCGGAGCTCTAGTACTATCTTAGTCATATCACTAGGGATGAGTCAGACGAGTATCGCTACGATGTCTCTCTTATTTTCTTTCATGTGGTCGAGATTCACTTGCCCATCAGGGTCTACAGACAGTTTGAAAGAATGACAGGCTGCCCACCACTGCTTTATTCCACCAACCAAGGATTGCACGGGTGCGTTGTCGATTAATAACAAAGCTACAATTCAGAGGTGTGTGTGGTACAACTAACATCGTTTTGTTGCAGATATGACCGTAGGAAGAGGTACAAGACCAATGATTGGCACGTGACACACAACGCACACATCCACTTGTGGCAGAACAGGGTACGATAGCCGGTCCATGCGGGTCCTCCACATGACCAGCACACCTTCGACGAGTACCTGCAGTGGCTTCACAGGTCTACGAGGACACATATCAAGCCCCCGTACACTGAGGAGGCGATTGATGAGGACTCGGAGGAAGATGTCATCGAAGATGTGTACGACGTTACCACTAGAGAGGACACACAGCTATAGAGAGCCCCGCTTCAAAGATACGTGCTAAGATACTTGAATGGTACAATTTGTTATCATTTTGGTATTAAGTATGTGTACTAAAACTGTCCAACCGCGTTTCTGTACCCAGGCGACACAATTGTCAAGGATGTCCAACGAAGCAGCATTCCGGCTTCACGAGTCTAGAGGGCAGGGGCTAGGCGTTCTCGAGGCTTTTGTGGAGGTAAACATAAACTTGTCCGTTCCGAAAATGTTTCTTTAGTGTATATGCATTTGGGAAATGCACTAACTTTAATGTCTATTTATGCAGAAGGTGAAGAAGAGTTGTAGAAAGCTAGCTCAGAAGCTGAGCTGCATGGACACTCCTTATGAAGAACCGCCACTTCTAGCACGGTCGGGTGGCACGTCTTCAGCCTCTTTGAGGACACCAGCCAGCTCTTCTCAGCCGGTGACAGGTGCTACTTCCGCGGTGCATACACCACCACATCATAGCGCTGGGAAGGAGCCTGCAACCGAGGACGACGAGGACGACCCCTCGGGCTTCCGCAGACAGCACGATCAGTGGCACGATTGGCTGCAGGACAAGATCGGCATGTCTCAGCTAGGTGGTGCCCCACTTGGTACCCAAGGAGCCTCACAAGTACTAACAAAGGTAGTTTCTTTAAATACGTATGCTCCATGAACTAACGATCATAAAGAATTATAAGTAATCGTGCGTATCATATACTTGCATGGTACGAGCCGTACGCACCGGCAACGCGACAATACCGACGTTGGCTACGCTCCCAATGTGTTTCCAACAAATCCGAAGAGACAAAGGCGTCCGAGGGATCCTTACACTCCTGGGTCTTAGTTTGTTAGGTCAAACGAATATTGGCGTCCAAAACTTGCAGGGTTATTTGGTTATGTTATGTCGAACTTATGTCAAACCAATGAAAATGTTATGTAGTAGCTTGTCAACTTGCGCTACGGACTTCATTTATTTGCTTCATATTCGTTTCAGTGCGTCGTGACAGCACTGCCGGCGAGATTAAGTAGCAACTAGTTTGGGAACCGGGTCCCGGCGTATCTCGACGCCAGTGGCCGGCGTCTTGCGCGAGGGGTCGAGGAAGCCGGGGTCCATGGTCGCATCGCTGCCGATCCTACAATATGGGGCCAAAAAGCCAAAGAAATAAGTTCTCTTAAAAAAATATTCGTTTCAATCCGATCTAATTTTTCGTAATCGATATATTAACATGGTGGTTAACCGTATTATGAAAGACGGAAAAAAATATTGGCTTATCAAATTCTCTATTCGGCCGTGAAAAAAAATCAACAAAAGATAGAAACAAATCCACTATTGATTTTATGTCAAACAATACTTAGAATAACTTCCACTATCGGCGCGACGCATTCCGATTAAACCGTCCAGGTACCGCCGGGCGGGCGGCTAGGCGCGGGCAGGCGGGCTTGCTGCTCGGGCAGGCAGGACTGGCCGCGGGGTTTTATTCGGCTCTGTCGCGCCACGGATCAGGGCGCGGCACTACCGCGCCAAGGTCGGTGGCGCGGTAGGCCCTGCCACGTCAACGGTCAGCGATTCCGATCGCCGCCACGTCAGCCCGCTACCGCGCCACCATACATGGCGCGGTGCCGCGCCAGGGCAATAGGCGCGACCAAAAGTGTTAGTTAAAAACACAGATAGTGTTAGATTTAAAATTAATTTTCAAAAGTGTTAAAATTAAAAAAAAAATCCCAGGATGGGGGGTGGGCTGGACTGACTAGGCAGAGGTGATATCTACTCGGGAGTCCCACATCTATTTGATGATATACAAGACATAGATCGATATGATATATATACATAACTGATTAGTCGGATCTTGTTTGCCTATAAAGACACGATCTACTTCTAATCCTACACCAAGCTATATAAGGCAAGTACACCCTAGGCATATCCATTAAGAGGCTCTTAGACCCCTATTAACCCTTGAACTCATTTGCATACGGGCACAAACAATACAGTCACCATCGTACACTAGACGTGGAGCGCCATCTAACTGAACTAGCAAATCTAGGTCCTATGTGCAAAGCCTCTAGGTCGTCTGCTACGCATAACATGCAGCATGTTCGTTTGGTCATAAATGATCGTAAATCTTTAGTTAGAACGATATTTTTTTCTCACATCAAACCAGCCAGCAGTAAATAATTCACGATCATTTATGGCCCCCCGAACAGGCTCATGATCTATAGTCACAACCGGCGGTACAAACACCAACATTTAGTTTATACTTACTGTTACGTCTGGTTTTTGTTTTAGTTTGATTTTATTAGTAGCTATGATTGGGGCTATAGTAGTGACTATGCATAGGACTACAAAGGTGAAAAGACAGGATGCAGGGGCGGAGCTAGAGAGTTGATTTTTTGAATGTTAGGGGTCCAACAGTGTTGAATTTTTAAAATTTATTTGAATTTTAAAATTTTCAGTGGAAAATTCACATTTATAGGGGGGGCTGGCCCTGCCCGCCCCCCTTGTCTCCGCCCCAGACAGGATGTATTCGATGAAATGCCTTGTTTTTAGGATGACTATAATGAGGAGGCCGAGAGCTAGCACGAAAACCGTGATTCTTCAATGGCCAAGGTTCTTTTATTTTATAGTTTGAAGTTCTCCTTGAGTTTCTTTCGATCTATTCCATAGCGAAGCATCCGAAGCATAACTGCACACTTCAATTCACTCGAAGTACAAAATCACTTTATAAATAGGGTTTATCTTGAAGAGTCATGGAGAATCATTTGTATTAGATATGGCCCTGTTCGATTGAACTTATCAGCCTAGCTTATCAACCATTGTACAGTATTTTTCTCTCACAACAAATCAGCGAATATTACTTTTCAGCTTGGCTTTTTAGCGAAACGAATAGAGTCAATGTGGCTTTCCATGGATAATCAGAGGAGAAGCTCTACCTAAGTGAGCCTTTTGTGGAAAAGGTCAACGTTTTTGTAACTTGTTACATTTCAATCTAACTATTATACTGATTTTAATTTACTCAGAATCAAAACTCTTTCTTCTATTGAGAGGCGCTCGGAATCAAAACACCAAAAAGATAATTCTAGTCGTGACCGTACTTTTGCCATAACCTCCTCGAATTACATGACAGATTACATCTAGACAACAATGCAACTTTACCAAACTACCACATATATATTATTCCTTAATTAAAAACAAAATCAAAACGATGTATTTAGATCCCAGAAGAAAGAAAAGGAAAAAAAGAGAGAGAGAAGACACTGCCACTTCCATCCTCTCCCTCAAAACAAAACAAATCAATCATCGAACATTTGACCGGTCAGACACTACCGTGGAGCCGGCGACCTACACGACCCGGACGACAGCAGCCGATGCCACGGCAGGCGCCGGCCTCCCGCGCCCCATGGTGAACCCGCGCGTGCCGTCGGGCATTCTCGGCCCTTGCGCCGCGTGCCGGGGGCTCGCCGCGAGGCTGTCCAGATGCCCTGGCGCGCCAGCAGCGTGCGCGGAGGAGTGCGGCGTCTGCGGCGGCCTGCCCCGCCCTCTGCCCCATGGCTTCTTGGCGCCGACGTGCTGGTGCTGGTCCTCCTCCTCCTGCTGCTGCTGCCAAGGCGAGTGCATGCAATCGCGCACATCAGTTAGCGGCAGATATGGTCAGGCAGGGACATTATAGCATGTGCCAGGGCGTGGCGTTTCCGCTTACGATGTGGTCAGGAAAGTGCGCTGCCGTCGGGGAGTCGGACGACGAGACCTGCGACTGCGGAGAGCGCTCCTGGTCGGAGGCGGCGAGGTGGTCCAAGTCCGGGCGCTTCAGCCGTGTTACCGTCTTGGGCTGCGGTGAGTTGAATGGGCGCCGGCATGTCAGGCCAGTGATCAGCTCTCAAATGGAAGTAAAGCTGATGAATTATGAATGAGGTTCAGTTACCGATCGTCGCAGCACGGGGCGCACGCGGAGGCCCCTCCTCCAGTTTCTTTCGTCGTTCAACTTGTCCACCTGACGAAGCACAAAAACAGATTTCAATATGGCACAAGTGAGCAACGAACCGGAACTGGAACTGGAACTGGAAGTAAAACTTCAAGGTTCCATTTGTCTGAAATTAACTTACTGCTCTGTCGGCTTGGTGTGAGGTCTCGTACTCTATAAGAGCATGCAGCTGTGTCAGAACAAAACAGACAGAACAATTGTCAGATGATGAGATAAAAAGAAAACTGATTTGAAAAAAAAAGAGAAATCAAACCCCGGCCCCGGATCAGTATCAAGTACCTTGTTACTGACTAGTGTGTTTGCGTCGGACTTCGATGATCTTGCAGAGCTGGGTTCTTGCGGATGGCAGATTCTGATGTTTTTCACACTGCAAACTTGTTGTGTGGTGCACATGATTAAGAGACGTTACATGACTAATGTACGTCGCATAATATAATATATATGCAACAAACTACATGGGGATCAGAGGGGGTTGTGTGTTCTGTTCTGACCTGCCAATGATGCCGAAGATCTTCTCGAGGCTGTTTCTAGTGGAATCGTGTGGCAAATTCTCGGCGATGACCATCCGACACTGCGTGAGTCAGCGATGTTTGGTCTTAGTATGTAGGAGGCAGATGAAGCTAACTGTTTCCATTTCAGTAGCTGAAACCTTGCTCCGAAGTACTGACCTGTAGCTCTTCTTTGTGTCTCTCGGTGAATGGCTGAGCCCGTCGCACTTTCTTGCCGTCATCGCTGACAACCTGAAGAAAGTAATTTTACATGGCTACCACTTGTTTTTTCTCGACCGTGCCATAAGGCACGTTTTTCGTTAAGAAGAGGTAGAGTTACAAAAGCGAGCTACAAATGACGAACAAGAAGGAGCGGTAATCGGCGGTTACCGCAAACAGACCCACTCAAAAACGCAAGAGAAGAGAAGCAAAAGGTCAAACACAAAGTAAGGAGCAAAGGTAGCAGCACTGGCTTACGAGCTTTTCTGAGGTCCGGAGAGCTGTAACCAGCAGTTGGTTTGTTACCCCCATAGCCTTGATCTTCTTCCAGGATGAGATGACAGATAAAGGAACTGGCCAAACCGTTGAACGCACATTTAGTTTTCATTTCATCAGTCCATTATTGGTGTTGTTGGCCCTGTATTTTAGGGTCATATGATTTATTTATGTTCCATGTGTGCTAATAGTACATTATCTGTGTGCTAATATATTCACATATAGGATTGAAGAGATAATAACTGTTCTCCACTCACCATAGCCCTCAGGATCCTTGTTCATGATCTTCGTCAAGAAATCATTCGCAACCAAATTAGTGTCACTGAACTGGTACTCAACCTGCACAAGGCAAGAACAATGCAACTAAAGGCCAGCCACTCCAAAATCAAGAAACAAATAAAGGAATATCATGAAAAGAAAAGGTCAACAGCATGATCTACACAGATCCTAAAATCACGAGAATCGTCTGATAAGTTACTACTCGAAACATCACTAATCAAGTCATAAAAATGGATGCATCGAAAGTTCAGGATGAGAATTCAAAGACCATGTAGCTCCCTGAGCTGTTGGCCCGGAGATCACTACTCTCAGCATTTTCAATTTCAGAATCTGTAGTTCTACACTACTGTATCAGTGATTCGATATGAAACAGTAAAGAACCGAGGGGATCGTCTATGGTTTCCAAACCTGCTTGATGATCTTCTGTGCGACGTCGGCCGGACTCGCGCCCTTGGGGTTGGGGTATACACTGATGCCAGTAGCGCCGGCGATCTCGCCATGTCCAAAGTCCGGCAGGAAGGACGACGTGGGGTCCGGCTCGGCAAAGAAGTTCCAGTCCGCGCCCAGCCCACCGCCACCGCCGGAAAGCTGCAGGAACGGAGAGTAGTAGCCGGCGGCCGCCGTCATCGAAGGGCTGGCCGCCGCCGCCGCCGCCGGTGGCACCGGCACGAACTCCCGCGCGTGCACGTTGAGCCTGAACGGCATGGAGGAGCAGGCACTGCTGCCTGCCGACGACGACGCCTTGCTGGAGCTCTCGCAGCCGTCCTGTGCCATTGTTGCCTCTTCTTCCGTCGACGACTGATGCATTGGTGTGTGTGTGTGTCTTGCGATCTGAATTGTGTTGAGATCGAGTGTGGGGGGGCTGTCTCCATGTGTAAAGCATATGGCGTATTTGACCACTTCTTACTCAGGGCAATATTTTGTGAGGCGGGAGTGTTTCTAGCGTAGTTTTATTTTTTTCCTTTTATTAAAAGAAAAGTAACATGAGCTCTGCCTTCCGTTAAAGTAGGGGAGTGTGTAGATTTTTTTCGTGGGAGTGTGTGTGGTACTTCAACCGACAACCGTTACATGAGGAGGGAGGTTTTGACCGTTGGGCAAATTACGGCCCTGCTTGCAAGCATGGCAAATTTTTACACCAAATAATTCCATTCCACCTGAATTTTCTAGCGCATAAAAATGCCCCAGAAAGTTACGCCTAACAAATGTTATTTGGGTAAGAAAAAATAGCAAACCTAAAAACATGGTTAGCACAAACATTGGCTTGCATGAAAAGTTATCTATTGATCGAGAGCTAATCTCATGCACACATTCAATAGGTATGTTTGTGACTGCTCTATTCCATATTTTTTCAGCTCCACTTCACGTTTTTTAGTTAAATAGGTGTAGCTTCACAAACTTTGCTTTAGAAGAAAGTGAAGTTGTAAGAGCACCTAAGAGGTGCTCCGATCCCTCTAGATTTTGTGGAGCTACTCTATCGTAGAGTTCGTGGAGCAGTCCTAAATAAGTCCTAAGATCATGTGAGGTTGTTATGTAAGTTATTCATACTATGATCTATTATGCTAAATATTAATACTATTATACTGTTGAGGGTGCCCTTATGAAAAATAAACGATTCACTCAATACAGGGAGCATTAGCTCGTAGTTTTGTGGAAACTGAGCATTCGTGCCCATGTTTTAGACTGTGACCTGTATATAGCTTTTAAACAATGCATCGTTTTAGGAAAAAAAAAAGATGAAAAGTATACCATATTTCAAAACCATTCACCCCAAAAAATCTAAAGATACATCCTCTCTACTTCATCACATTTTCTTTTGCACAATTAACTATTTGCAGCTATTATCCTGCAATTTAAAAGTATAGACTTTGTCCTAATAGCAAATCTAAAGATACACCATCTAGTATTCTATTTTATCACATTTTCTTTTGAAAATTGAGCTCTCAGCTTAGAAAAACTTGTTTTTTTGCAAGATTTTTGACTGTCTGCCAGGTACAAAACTGATTTTAAGGTTCGTTGTTAACAATAACAAAGAACACTCCAGGTGTTTGTGAAGTGTCTGGCTGCAGGTGTAATCAGAGATAATTTGGAACAAAAAGAGGATATATACACCTAGATCTGCATGCAAAACAAACATAAGTTAGAGCATGACTGCATGACAAGCATTGGATCCAAGTTAGTTCAATCAAATGGACCGAGGGGAGTTAGCCATGGATTGAAGGGCACACACTTTGGACCAACTTAATTAACCAACTTACCGGCAACTTTCTTGGGCGTGCCATCTTGAATGTCCAAGACTCCAAGTCACAGTGGTGGCGAATCGGAAAGCAGAGGCTGTGACACATGAGTTACGCGTCTAGACAAAATCAGACGGCCTGGACTTACATGCCAAACTTGCTCAACTGCCTTACCAAGCATGCATCCGCCAACAGGGAGCTAATCTAAGATGCACCATATATAGAAAGTTGACACATCTATCCAAAGACCAGATGATCTTTGTGTAGGCTGGCTTGCCTCACTTCCACAACCTTTATGTGCTCCGTATTGTCACATTTGAGGTAAACACGCACACGCCCGCTTACTTTTGAATCTCTCCACTTCACTTGTATTCCAAAGTTAGGTTGGCATAGTTAGAAGTTATTAGTCGTGTTGAACTTGTCCTGAGGTTCTAAAGTCATCTTTGGGGCTTGGTAAAACTCTTGTATCGTTTACTACTCCTCGCTCTAATAAGACTTACTATTTCAATTCAAGGACTCTCCTTTATTTATCTTGAGCAAAAGTTTTACTTCTTGCTTTACTTTACTTTACTCATTTCTTGCATAATAGTAGTGCTAGTATATCTATACCAAGTTAAAGCAAGTATAATATAGAAGACTATTAGCAGGCTGTATGTTGACATGGAGAGGGAAAAGGAGGAGAGAGAAGAAAGGTGGGTCGTAAGTTTATAGTCAGCTGAAGCACAGGAACCAAGAAACTCTGTGAGAGGAAGGGATGACCTGTAATTAAACCAAGTACTATATGAGTTGGCTAATAAGTGGGTCGTAAGGATCATATAGCCAGTTGAAGGATGTATTATTAGCCTTGCTCTTAGTGTATCTTAGTATGGTTGCTCATGAGGTTCTCATCGTATGCTAGTTGATTTGGACCCTTGCTATCCACCACTAGATTAAAGGAGCCTTTATTTATATCTTGATCGGTGAAAGAGTTATGTGCTCCTTTAAAGCCTTAAAGGTGTATTGCTTAGAATCCACCACTATATCAAGTTAGTATATCTTACGACCTGTTTGTTTGGGTTTTCTAGGAGCTTTTGGACCTTAACTTTTGAACCTTTCAAAAGTCAAAAGGTTCCAGAAGCCAAAAGCCAAAAGCTCATTGTAGTTTCTAGGCTTTTGGTTATGTGAGTTGTTTGACTTTTGGAAAGTCCAAAAGCTAGTAGTCTAAAGTTGGCAACCTTAGTATTGTTGTCCTCCGAACTCGCTACCTCACTCAATTTATCTTCTGGATCTCCTTTGTGTCAACCCCCTTTATGAACATCTTTATCTTACCCCTCTATAGTTTGGCTCGTAGGATCTCCTTTGTGTCAACCCCCTTTATGTACATTTTTATCTTACCCCTCTATAGTTTGGTTGGTATATATATAAACTAGCGATGATTTTTTTCCTTTTATCTTTGAATATTCTTTACTTACTTTCCGTGGGAAATTTCAATGCTCTAGAATATTCACTAATGAAATGCTATAGTAATATTATGTACATTGTGAAATCATTAGCATTCTTATCATGGTGTAGGAAATGCAAAACCGAGCATAAGGGGGGGGGGACAAGCGTGGAGATGGCTAGGGTTAAGAGTACTAGGCATGATCTTGTGAGGCATTGTCAAAGGACAATTTGCTAGGCGCTGGCCCTAAGGACTATTATGGGCTAGGCCTATATGGCAATGCAATGTTGATGTTGGGCTATAGTGGGGTTTTGTTCTAAAAACAACTGGAAGATGCTAAAAATATTTTGGCTTTTGTTTTTATTGTATTAGACTTTTATTACACCAATTCTGTTTCTATTATTTTAGTTATCGTTTACCATTTCTGCTTAGGATAAAACAAAAATGATTTCAGAAAATCCTGTTTTTCCTTTCTAGCCATAACTACCATATGTACGACTCAACAAACAAATGTCACCCTTTTGCCTTCCTTGCGGTCTACTCACCCAATAGTGCAGGTGTGATCCGAAATAGAAAAGAATCCTCCTCACGCCCTTTAACTATTAGGATATTATTTGCACTCCTCAAACTTTTGGAACCGGTTGTTTTTAATATTTGGCTGGTTTTAGGCTATGTTTGATTTAGCTTGTGGAAATTGCTTCTTCCGCTAAAAAGTAGAACACCAACGAGGAGAAAGAACCCGATGTTGTTTTTCAAAAACAATTACTTTTATATAGCATAATTTTCGCAGCACCTTGGACCTTGCTTTTCTTTTAGCTTCTTGTTCTTTCAAATACGTAGAAATAGAGAAACATTTTATAACTGTAACTGTTTTAAGAAAGATACAGAGAAAATCACATTAGTTTTTTCACAGCTCACGATTTACCAGAGATCTCCATCGTGTGAGTTCGGCTGTCTCCTCCCTTTCTGGACGGAAAATAGTTTGGTTTGCCACTTTTTTTTTTCGCGTGGAGGTTTGCCAGCAGTTAAGCCAGGCCGAAATCACGCTGTCTCGGCCCACGAATGCGGCTGGACAGCTCGACGAGTGATTTTTGCCACACTGCCGGGGCGGCGCATGAGCGCAGAGCCCGGAGCCCGGCGGCCTTCATCCCCCACGCTATCCAGCACCGCCGCCGGCTGTTCCCCAAAGCCCGGGCCCTGTTCACAAATGCCGGCCCCGCCGGCCGCGCCGCCGGCGCCACCGGCCGCTCCCTGGCGCCGGCACGCTCCCGCGGCGGCCTCCTCCACTCCCAGAACCGTCCTGCTCCTCCTCCCGATCCTCCTGCTGTTCCTCTTCGTGCTCTCCAAAGCGCCGGATCTAACTTTCTCCACCACCACCTCCTCCACCGCCGCCGCCGCCGCCTCCTCCCGCCACCTTCCAGGCGACCGCCGCTCCTTTGACTGCTACGCCTCGCAACAGGCTTTCCCGGTCGTCGCCAACCTCGTGGAGGGCGTGCCCTACCCCTTCTTGTACTCGCTCGCCGACATGGGCACCCTCCCCGACCACCCCCACAAGAACATCGCTCGCCTCCTCAAGGGCAAGCGCTTCCGCAAGCCCGACATCTCCCAGACCATCCAGGAGCTGCTCGGCGGGGAGGTGGGGAGGGGGGAACCATCCGGTGGTTTGGTGGTGGACGTGGGGGCCAATGTTGGCATGGCATCATTCGCGGCCGCCGTGATGGGGTTCCGGGTGCTGGCGTTCGAGCCCGTGTTCGAGAACCTGCAGCGGATCTGCGACGGGGTGTACCTCAACCGGGTGCAGGACCGCGTTGTGGTGTATCACGCGGCAGCTTCTGATCAAGTTGGGACTATTACGATGCACCAGGTACTGGTTCTGATCATAGTTTGATTTTCTTTAACCGATTAATTCATCGTGGCAACTTTGTGTATCACTGTTATAGTTGCTAAATGCAGCCATTTAGAATTGGAAAGTGCTATGTTCTTTTACCTTCTTATCAATGAACGAACATTTTTTGCATACTGGTCTCTATGTATGGCACTTTGACCATGTTATTAGCAGAACAAGCTCGCATGGATGTCATTGTAATTAGTGTTCAGAATTGTAACCAAGCCCCCCCATGGGTTCTATACCTGATTCATAACTAAAAGCTTCTCTGGCCCTTCACTAACCGTGGCTAAAAGTCCTGAAATCCAAAATACCAAAATAGGAATAAGGTTTGCTATTATTAGAAATGTCCAAAAAATATCATTTCCGTGAAGCAGAAACATAAGGGTATGTACAATCCGTGAACGCTTAAATGGGGCTCTTAAAGAAAGAGAATAATCAAACAATTGTGTAAGAGCCTTAACCTACAATGGAAAAAGCTAAACCTACATGCTAATGTGCTTATCCATCCTTAAAACCGTCACTTTTTAAACTATAAAATCACCAAGCGCCGGCTGCTTATTTGAGCGTCAATGTCACTGCTAAGCGCCTTGCCACATGTACACGGTGGCAAAAAAATAAAATAAAATGCAGAACCTCTGATTAGCGCCGCCGCCGCCCCAAGCGCCGGCGTTGTACCTGGTGTAAATGTACTCCCATTAATGTGGAATAGGCAGAACTGAATTAGTCAATTCAAGTTGACATTGTCAATTTATCCAGAACTTCTCTCTTTTCCTCAATGAAGCAAGAATCTGTTTTGCTCAAACCAAAGGCAAGGAGCGCTTAATTTAGCCTTTGGTTCTTTTGTGATATGTCTTCCTTAAGGAACAAGCTTACATGGAAAATCAGTATTACTTGTCCAATCTCATACTGATAAACTTTAATATTGTTAAAGCAACACAATGAACTTTTCATTATAGGATTACTATTTTTCGCAGAAATTTATAGCCTTGTATATTTTTTTGAACATTCATGTACAACCATGATTGATTGATTGCCACTATCACATATCTGAAATTAGGCAAGACATAAGTGCATAAACAAAATTTGCATGCATGTAAGACATTACAGTTTGGCAATTATTCTGATCCTTAGTTTTACAAGAGATATTTACATAATCTAGAAATCTCAAATTGTTTTCTCTGTGTCTGTGCTTCTGTTTTGCCTTTTTGCACTACTTATTGCATATTCTGGTAATCTAGGTGATTGGTCGACTTGACAACAGTGCTATATCTGCAATTGGTGCAAAGTTAGCATTCAAGTCTAATGCAGAAATTGCTGTTGAAGTTTCCACAATTCCACTGGATGAAGTTGTTCCAGATACTGAGAGAGTTCTTATGATCAAAGTTGATGTTCAAGGCTGGGAGTACCACGTACTGAGAGGTGCATCAAAATTGCTTTCAAGGGGGAAAGGTGAAGCTCCCTACCTTATATATGAAGAAGATGAACACCTGCTGCAGGCTAGCAACAGCAGTGCACAGGAGATAAGGGCATTTCTCACTAGTGTTGGTTACAATCACTGTACAAGGCATGGAAATGATGCTCACTGTACAAAGGAATAGACAAATTTGTTTCTGACTGTTGCTCTTATGCTCCTAAGCTTGGGTTGTATATGAACTGCGAAGAATCAATTGAGTTCTGGCAGTTTTGCCCCTTTGTTACTCAGCAAGGCCAGATGTTTAGACATGTCATGTGCCCAATAGTTGTGTTGCATCGAGTTCCATGGTATCCCTTTGCTTTAACTTTTAGGTTAGTTTGTTGGTTGCTGGACCTTTTGTTATTACTGCCTCTGGTAGGGAAAAGATGCCATTCCTACTGGAGTTAGCAATTGAGTTAACTGACCATTTGCTGTCAGAAGTGACGTCTTTACCGGACTGGAGGGAGTGTATGTTATAGATACTTGGTATAAGTAACATCAATATTTGTGCATGCGCTGGGCATCTTGAATCTTAATGATATTTCCAGATACTAGTGCAGTTTTTTATTCTGACCTTGGAATGTATGCTTAGTACTGAATATCATTACATATATGCTTCAGTTTATCCTGTGTTTTGAGAAGCATCTAGGATTTTTTTTTTGAACAGCCAAATTAATTTATTTTAACTCAGTTTTTGGGTTACCTTGCATATTTCCTTTCAGTTGTAGTTTACCTACTTAAGTATTTCCTTTCAGTTGTAGTTTACCTACTTAAGTTTTTAACATGGTTACTTCGAATGAGATTTGACATAGCTTTTAACTGAAATGCTAAGATCTTACAAACAAGAGATATTTGGTTAAAAATAACAAGCTGAAGCTGATTCTACCATTTTCGGAAGTACTGTGATAGTTTAGCTAGTAGTACTTTGGAGTTAAATTAATATTGTTTCCATATAGAATTATTTGGAACACAAATTTCCTTTCCGAAAATTAACGTTACATCAACATCTATCCATATTGGATCATAGGTTTCAGATTGAAAATACACTATCTTCCTATTTCCAATCTCTACAAAATTTCACCATCTATTTCAATCCAAGGGATGTGTGCAATCTTTGGCCAGTCAACTCCATATTCTTTTATGAGCCTTTCCTTGAGCAGTGGGTGACAGAGTGCAACTTCAATCTTCCTAACTGATAGAGGCAGTGGTTCCTCTGTCAGTGATTCCAACGCAGGGCAGTTCCATAAGACCAACTTATCCAGGGATTGCACGCTGGACAGAGTGGAAGGAAGTGATCGCAGAGTGTTGCAACCAGATATACATAAGCTCCGGAGTGACTTTAGCTGTAGGAGGATATCATCGTCGTCTGCACTGAAGGAGGTGATCTCTGAGCAATCTTGGATGTCTAGGCTCTCAATGAGCTCAAGCCTATCTTCTAAAAGAGAACACCTTAATATTGTCATTTGATCAGTGATAATGCTTCTAAGAGACCTAAACCTTGCAATTATTTCTGTGTTCATTTGTGCAGATAATCTGGCAAGTAACAAGGGGCAATTGAATATGCAAAGAGATGAGACACTGGACCTGCGTGCCGACTTTACATCATGGTGGTATGGCACCCAATACCCTTTCCCTGCAATTGTTATCTCTGTAAGGTTAGGAGGTACTGGAGGCAGCGCTTTGAGCTTATTGCAGTCCTTGATCACAACGTTCTGTAGATTCCTCATTGTCTGGTCACTCCATAACCACTCATTGAGTTCTGGCATGTCATCAAGCACCAGCTCTTCTAGTGACTGGAATGTCTCCATTTGGCTGCCACTGCCATATGCCTCTGGGCCTATCTGCCTCAACATTTTCAAACGCTGCAACCAGATTATTCGGATGGAGGGAAGCTGACCAAGTGGCGGAAGCTGCTCCCATGCATTGCAGCCACTTAGGAAAATAAGCTCAAGATTGCTTAGCCATTCGTTCTCAAGCCAATTAGGGGATTTGACTCCCATCCAACCCACGATGTCTAGTCTCTTTAGATTTTCGTGCGGTTGGAGAGCTTCTAGCACATCCTCTTCCCTATTTCCATTTACCTCATCTCGATCAGATGCCCACATTAGCTGCAGCACAGAGAGCTGGTGTTTCTTGCAAAGCATGGCTTCCTTTGCCTCATTTGGAGCATCAATATTCTCAAGGTTTCTGATCTGTAGGGATCCTTGGAGTTCTAGTAGGTACCCAAGCTGAACTATACTTTGTGTTCTCTCTCTGGTAACCTTGAAAGTTGGCAACCTCTGAAGGTATTTCAGCCTGCCAATGTCTGTTATGGCTGAAATAATCTGATTAGCTGCTGTGAGATGCCGTAGATTGACCAAGTTGTTCATTCTGGAAGGCAATTTTCCAAGCCTGCAACCTGATAAATTCAGAACCTGTAGGTGGTAGAGTTTGCACAAGAATTCTGGTACTGTGACGATGGTAGTAGATGAGATATTTAGGTATCGGAGATGCACACAATTTGATATGCTATCAGGAAGTCTGTCCATCATGCACAGGGATAAATCCAACACACGGAGGCTTCTTATGTTATTGAGAGCCACTGGAGGGATGGAAACATTGATTGGAGCCACTGTTCTGCTAGGGAGAAAAATGAGAGTGCGTAGATTCTTGTATGGGATTGTGTCATCAAGTGCTGAAAGGCTATCTAGATGTACGGATAGATGGCGTACTGACGATGGGATTCTTGTCCATTCATCATCTCCTATTCTGAAGCATTCTTCAGCTGCAACTGATTTTGCAAGCTCATAAATTACAGGTGGTATCACATAATAGCTTACAAATTCTTTCTTCTGTATCGTGAAGAATGACTTATTACGTAGATCATTTATGTATTCTTTCCCAATGTCCTCCAATCTCCTGCAACCATCTGGGTGCACAAAACCTTGTGCTAACCACAGCAGAATCAGCTGCTCTGCTTCAAATTCCCAGTTTTTGGGGAAGATGCTGCAATATGCAAAGCATTGTTTCAGGTGTGGTGACAGATTGTCATAGCTTGTTCGTAGAATTGGCATGATTTCCTCCCATACTGCATTTCTTTGCAAGACTTGTTTCCACTCATCTACACTGTGTTTACATTTCAGGTGTCCAGCTACCACCTTTGCGGCAAGAGGAAGACCACTGAGTGTCTCAGCAATTTTCCTTCCAATGTTCTCCAATTTTGAGTTGATGGTATGTTCTGTCTCATCAAACACAGAAGTCTTTACTAGGGACCAACAGTCATTAACTTGCAAGGTCTCCAAACTAATTATATAGGATGATTGCAGCATCTCTGCTACTATACTTGACCGAGTTGTCAGAAGTATCTTGCTCCCATTTGCTCCGTCCTTTAGAGGGGCTAGCAGCTTCTGCCAGTTCTCTTGTTCTATTGCTATTGTTCTGTTGTCATTGTTCCAAACATCATCTAAGACAAGGAGGAACCGTTTTGAAGCAAGCCTTGCCTTCAGTGCGGCTTGAAGTCTATTGAAATTTGTTATGCCACCATGCCTAAACCGACTGCTGGAAGCTGACTCCAGCATTTCTTTTGTGATCCGCAACTCGTCCAAGAGACAAGTAACACAGATCCACATTCTCACATCAAAGTTCTCTGTTATTCTAGCATTGCTGTACACATGCTGTGCTAGAGCAGTCTTACCTATGCCACCTACCCCAACAATAGAGACAACAGAGACTGGGATCTCGACCTGAGAACTTATCAGAGCGGTTACCAGCTGTTGGGCTTCGAATTCCCGACCGATGAGTTTCCCATGGGGTATTGAGCTTGTCATGATGTGATTTCTGCTTCTGATGTTCCTGGGTAGGCTGACTACTTCACTAACTCCATTTGTAACCTGATCAATACGCTCCAATAGATTTACCATCTTATTCTTTACCCTTGTTGATCTATCCCAACATGGTTCCAGGCTAGAAGGGGTACCTTGGTTGTGAAACCGGGAGAGCATGAAGGCGCTGATTGGGCTACTGCTGCTCTCGTTTGCACTTGATTCTTCCATTTCATGATGGAGACGGTTGTACTCAAGCTTGTCTAGGAGATCCTCTGCATGATACATGACATCTCGGAGCTCTCGCATCCATGGAAGAGAGCTGTAGGAGAGTGTCGGCACCAGCTCAGCACCATGGAGAAGTGACTGTGTGCGAAGCAAAGCAACACGAAGCCTGTCCAGCTCATGCTCAATGCCACAGTTGGCCGCCCATCGCCGGAGCTGGTAGGACAGGTACTTGTCGAAGATAACTTGGATGAACCAGCCACCTACAGCCAAGTAGCTGGAGATATCCATATTGGCAATTACTGAGCTTGCTATCCATTCTTAAGACCAATAGTCTCATATATACTGCTAGATACCAGGTCGAAGTCTTCGAAGAGTCTTTGAAGAAAATTCTACACCATATGTTAATGGGCTACCTTTAAAATTTGAAAGGGACACATTTGTCAGCTTTAATCATTTGTTGGTTCCTTTATGAACCTCAGTGCACCCTTTTCAACTGACCTACATTATCGGTGGTTAGAGACTTAAATTTCTAAGTTCTAGACTTTGTTTGGATCTCATGTAAGGCTCTGGTACCTAGAAATCATAGATAGAGCATCTATATTTTCAACTCCTTTCGCTGGATTCGTAGATTACAGTTTGTACTGAGTTTTGGTGTGAAGAATAAGCAAAGATGTTTTTGGTCGTCACATCAGTTTCCAGGAGATTCCAATCAACTCTGGGTTAGCTAGGCCCATTTGGGGCCACCCATCAATTTGTTCTTAGAGATCCTGCTACTTTTGTTTAACCAAATACACAGGCTGGTTTAGATGTTGGAGAGCGCACAGGTTCAAGGAGGGTTGATATTTTGTCTCCATATGTTATCTGGTCTTGTTAAGCCCTTGGTCATAGCTGGATTGGTTCTGTCTTCAGTTTTGAAACTTCGATCGCTAAATGCTGGCAGGCTGCCTCTGTAACGCTTGTAGATCCATCAATGAACAGAGGAAACACAATAGAGGTTTTTGTCTTTTTGTGAGCATAATAATAATAACTAGTTGAATACCCTGTGCGCTGCTGGGGGATTTTAGGACACCCATTTTGAAGTTGATTATGCTGAAGGATCAAACTATGAAGTTGCAGCCAATTTTAGCACTGCAAATAAGGCATGGTAGTATGCTTGTATATAAGATATGCTTAAATATCAAAGTCATGTACATATAAAGAGGTTCTGATGAAACACATAAAAAGAGGAAGCACGATATACATGGTAGGGTCACATTCATGTTATTTTGGGAGGACATGGAAATGTCTGCAGTATGTTGCGAGTCAAGTGATTTGGACTTTTTACTGACTCATTTGGATAAGTGAAGTTTCTGCAAATAAAAAAAGATAATGTGTGAGCAAAGTAGGTGTGTGAAACATAGATGAGTGAAAAGAAGAAATTTTGTTTAATATTTTTAGTACCTATGTTTCATTGGTTGCAAGTAGATCTTTTGAATTTGTTATGGATTGTCCAGCGTCGTGATCTACAACTGTAGGAATAACAGGGTGTTAGGAATGCTTGTGAAAAAAAAATGAATGAGGGCCGGGATGTTAGCACTTGCATTATTTTTTTACGTTTTGGATCATCATCCGAAGCCGGTCTCTGAATTGGATATAGTAGTATCAATATCAGGGAAATGGAATGGTTCAAAAAATTGCATTCAGAGCTTTTTATAGGAATGCTTGAACAATTGTGTACCTATATGATCAAAATCTAAAGTTCTTTTGGCAGTAGAGCTTGGTGTTGTGCTCAGTAAAAAAAAGACTAAAAGTGCATCGAATTCTATTATGGGTTTTGGTGCCCCCTCTCCCCAGTTATTCAAATGATGAACATTGCGATTACTGGATGATGTTGGAAGAAGATTGATCTCTCGGCATTTGTTTTTACTTTATCTTGAGTTCTTGACTATATGAATGTCGCAAGCAGAATCGATGCTAAGTCCATATATATATTTAAGAACATCTAACAAAAATACAAAATCATAGACGCCATACGCAAAAAATCAGACACTTCACCTATAGGAGAAGTGTACAAATAATGAAATACGACCAAGGTATAAACCCTTCCCTGGTCTCTTGTTTGATTTGATGATCGGTGTAAACCGACCTGAGCGTGAGCGACGCTAGAGTGGTGTCCGCCAATTTTTTATAATTTGGTTTTTTTTAAAGAAAATTTATGTTTGACCTCTAGAAGACTTAAATTTATCTTTGGACCTTGGGTCGGCGCCAGGACTCATGGCGTCGAGGTAAAACATTTCGGCGCCACAGATCTTGGCTTCGAGGTGTCTGACAGTGCACAGCAAGATGGGAACATATCTAGTGCAAACCAACCTCTCCGTGCAAACCGTGCAAACCAACTGCGGAGGAGAGGTGGGAGGGGGGATTTGCAAAAGTGTAATTACGCCCGCTCCTAATTACACTTTTGCAAATCCCCCCTCCCACCTCTCTCCCGCAGTTGGTTTGCACGATTTGCACGGAGAGGTTGGTTTGCACTTGATACATTGCCCAGCAAGATATCCTAGGGGGGTGTTTAGTTCCCCCAATTCCAAACTTTGGCACTATGCAAAAAGAAGATTACTCGTCACATCAAACTTACGGTACATGTATGGAGTACGAAATATTGACGAAATCAAAAATTAATTGCACAGTTTGGTTGTACTTTACGAGACGAACGTTTTGAGCCTAATTAGTTAACGATTGGACAATTATTACCAAATAAAAACAAAACGCCACTGTAGTCAACGACAGTGTTTTGTGCCACTGTAGTCAACGACAGTGTTTTTGTTGGCGCGAATCGACGCAACTAAACCAGACCTAAATGATATTTACGTGACCAGTACGTCGACGTCAGAATACATGATACCGACGTCAAAATCTGTGGCGCTGCACCGAACTCGACATCACAGATGGAGCAGGCGGTGGAGGTCGCTGAGGTAGCTGCTCTGGTAGATCGGGGCCCTACTGAAGTGAAGCGACTGCAGGTTCACAGGGAACAGACAGGGCTTCTGTTCCAGAAATTAAAGGCTCGGTCAAGAGTTCATTGAATGGCAGCAACTCATCAGCTGCTACCTGCCAACCAGCTCCATTGCTTGCAGCAATGACGACCCCCAAAAGTACCACTACCACAGTACCAGTTCTGCAAAGATCGATAGACAGCCTGTTCGTTTGCTCATAAACGATCGTAAATTTTTAGTTAGAAATAATATTTTTCTCTTATACTAAATCAGTTAGTAATAAATAATCCACGATACGAATACGATGCGGTAGTAGTAAATCCCAGGATCCGAATGCAGTAACACACTGACCCTGGCCTTCATGTCCATGTGATTTTCCCTTGATCAGATCGATCCCATGCCCCTGGTTCGCCAGCCATTTCCGCCGTCGCCCGCGCCTCCTTCACCGGCTGCCGTCCGCTCCACCGCGCTCTGAATCCATGCTCGGCGCCAGAACGTCGGTGAGGTCGCTGAGGTAGCTGCTCTGCTAATCTGGATGATGGAGCTTGCCAAAAGGCATCGCATTCTGGCGCTGCTACTTATAGCCAGGCCCAGGAGAGCAGGCCGGTGTGAAGAGGTCCTAGAAGTAGCATCGTCGTCGGCTCGATGCATGATTGGTAGCACCACAACGCCTCGTTCACTTTGCAAAAAAAAAATGAACCCGATAAATAGTATCATTTTCGTCTTATTTAGCAAATATTGTCCAATCGTAGATCAACTAGGCTCAAAAGATTCATCTCGTTATTTCTAACTAAACTGTGTAATTAGTTATTTTTTTTACCTACATTTAATACTCCATACAACAACAACAACAACAACAACAACAAAGCCTTTAAGTCCCAAATAAGTTGGGTAGGCTAGAGTTGAAACCCATCAGAAGCAATCAAGGTTCAGGCACGTGCTGTCTTCCAAGCACTCCTATCTAAGGCTAAGTCTTTGGATATATTCCATCCTTCCAAGTCTCCTTTTATTGTCTCTACCCAAGTCAACTTCGGTCTTCCTCTGCCTCTCTTCATGTTACTATCCTGGCTTAGGATGCCACTACGCACCGGTGCCTCTAGGGGTCTCCGTTGCACATGTCCAAACCATCTCAACCGGTGTTGGACAAGATTTTCTTCAATTGGCGCTACCCCTAATCTATCACGTATATCATCGTTCCGAACTCGATCCCTTCTTGTATGACCGCAAATCCAACGCAACATACGTATTTCCGCGACACTTAGCTGTTGAACATGTCGTCTTTTCGTAGGCCAACATTCTGCACCATACAACATAGCAGGTCTAATCGCCGTCCTATAAAACTTGCCTTTTAGCTTCTGTGGTACCCTTTTGTCACATAGGACACCAGACGCTTGCCGCCACTTCATCCACCCTGCTTTGATTCTATGGCTAACATCTTCATCAATGTCCCCGTCTCTCTGTAGCATTGATCCTAAATATCGAAAAGTATTCTTTCTAGGCACTACTTGACCTTCCAAACTAACATCTTCCTCCTCCCGAGTAGTAGTGCCAAAGTCACATCTCATATACTCAGTTTTAGTTCTGCTGAGTCTAAAACCTTTGGACTTCAAAGTCTCCCGCCATAACTCCAGTTTCTGATTCACTCCTGTCCGGCTTTTATCAACTAGCACTACATCGTCCGCGAAAAGCATACACCAAGGGATGTCCCCTTGTATGTCCCTTGTGACCTCATCCATCACATTTAATACTCCATATAAACGGCTAAAAATTGATGTGATAGAAAGAGAGTGAAAAAAAATTAGAATTTAGATGACATCTAAAGAAGGCGCAGGAATCCAGGATGGTGATGAACTGACGATGATTCAATGCCGGTAGGTTTGCACAGTAGGTTACAGTTACAGGGAGAGATCGAGAGAGAGACTGCAGTTACTGCGCACGTACAGCGGAAATTTAAGCTGCTGCCGCTGGGTTTGTACAGGTTTGGCGCGAACCAGGGGCATGAGATCGATCTGATGAAGGGAAAATCACATGAACATGAAGGCCAGGGTCAGTGTATTACTGCATTCGGATCCTGGGATTTATTACTACTACCGCATCTATCGATCTTTGCAGAACTGGTACTGTGGTAGTGGTACCTAGGCCGCGTTTAGATGGAGAAAATTTTTGGTTTTGGTTACTGTAGCATTTTTTGTTTGTATTTATCAATTAGTGCTTAATTATGGATTAATTAGGTTTGAAAGTTTCGTCTCGCGATTTCTTATCTAATTGTGTAATTAGTTTTATTTTTTATCTATATTTAGTATTCCATGCATATGT